TATAAAATTGCTAGAGTAAAAGACACACTACTATTAACCTCCCTCAAAACACTTTCCCTCAGGTCAAACTTTTCTCATTGTTTTTGCCACTTTTTGGAGCAATTCTGGAAGTCCTTTTGAGAGGGCCTTTAGTTGTTGTGGCTGCCTTGATGTCCTGAATAGATTAAAAATATTTTCCTTTCATGGTCACTTTGACTTTGGGAAAGAGCCAGAAGTCACACAATGCCATTATCTGTTGAATAAAGTGGATGAGGACACACTGTGTTTCTTTTCTTTTTCTTTTTTTAGTACTAGGGATCTAACTCGGGACCTTGTACTTGTGAGGCAGGTGGAGGAAACACTGAGCTAAATCTCTGAGCCTACACACCATGTTTTTGACAGAAATTTCTTAGATAGTTGACTTAATGGGATAATAAAATTCAGTCATACCTTGGTTCACGGACACTTTTGTTTGCAAACACTTTGGTTCACAAACAAAAATTTTTCAGCAGAATTTTGCTTCTATTTGCAAACTCTGCATTGGGTGATAAACATGACCATGGCCATCCTCCCTACACAAACAAACATAAACACAGCCATAGTAAAACAAATTAAGTTCACAAACCAAGGTACCACTCACAGTGAATATTTAAATTTAAAATTTGATATAATAAAAGACATATGGCCATTAATCCCCTTCAAATTGCTCTCCCTTTGCTGTGAACATACTTATCTCATATTCTTGCAAATATATCTTTTACTATAGTAAAATTTAAGTGTGACATTCACCATGTCTTTCCATCACGCCTCAAATTCCTCAAATAGACCCATGTTTAGGACCTAATTATTTTTCCAAAGTCCCCCTTCCTAGTCACACTGGGATTTAGATTTCAGACTGAATCTTGCAGGGGACACAGATATTCAATCCACTGAAGCAAGGTTATTTATCATTTGGTCAGTCTACCAGATCTTGCGTCAGAAATAATAGCCTCATGTCTTAAGCCGAAGGGAAGAAGAAAAAAAATTTATTTCATAATTGATGAAAAATTTTTACTATAAAGCTAAAAGATATATTTCTGAGATGAATGATGCAGTTTGTTACTGCACTAGAGTGTCATGTTATTTTCATTAATTGATCAAATTAGTGATTTGATCAAATAATAGATTTATTAATTAACAGCATCAGAACTGAGCTAAATATTGTAGAGGGAGCAAAGGAAATTGAAGCAATTGAAAATCAACACATTGACAGTTTGATCAACTTTCTTGCTCTTGCTTGATTTTTTAAAAAGTATTGAGGATTAAACCCAGAACTACCTCCCCAGCCCTTCTTTATTTTTATCTTTTATTTTGATACAGTCTCACTAAGTTGCTAAGTTCCTCAGGCTGGGCTTGGACGTGTGATCCTCCTGCCCCAGCCTCCCAGAGTGCTGGGATTACAGGCATGTGCCACTGTATCTGGTCTTTCCTTGATTTGTAAACTAGTTAGAAAACAAATTAAAAGTTGTTTCATAATAGATGTCAAATAAAAATTATTTAAAGGCTATGAGAAATATTATTATATTAAACAATTTGAACATTGTATATCTATTTTTTTTCCTTTAGATTTGGCGTGTAGAAAGCAATGGTAGAATTGAAATTGACCCAAACTCCTATGGTGAGTTCTATGGTGGTGACTGCTACATTATCCTCTACACTTATCCCAGGGGGCAGATCATCTACACGTGGTAAGTTTACCACTTCCACAAGAGCTCAACTTCCACAGGGCCCAGATTATGCTTGAGTATTAAGTTCTATGCAGTATGGGGTAGAATAATCCTGTAGTTGCTCCAGTGAGATTTGTATGATGTGCACATAGTGTTTTCTTTATCATGATTTTGACAGCTTTGTGGCTCCTGTCTACAGACAAGACTAGTTAGATAAAAATAATCCTCTCTGGTCTAGGAAAAAGGTTTTAATGTGGTAGTAGCCTTCTCTTACTGGATATGCAGTTCAATATTTCATCTCATTTGCAGGTGAACAGTCTAGGGGCCAGCATTGGGTGCCGTCTTTCTTACTGCTAAAATTCATGTAGGCCACCCAGATAGAAGCTGCGAAGTTGTAGTAAGGGAAACCCTGTAGGGGAAATAATTTGGGATTTCATTGCAGCATACTGAAGAGACCTCAAATTAGTGCATCTTTAGTCTTTGTCCTCCTGACATTCACAGCAATGATGGAGAAAATATTATATCCCCAGCTACAAGGTTTTCCATAATGACTGTGGTTAAGTGAAGGTTAGGTTTACTTGGTCAGAGAACCTGCTCAGGGATGCAGGACCAAAAGTCCAACCCAGTCATTGACCTGCCTCCCCCACCCCCCGGGCTAGTTCAAAGATAGGGATTGTGAAACAAATCATGTAATTGAATTTCTCTAACTTTGTATTAAGTGAAATCAGGTAAAATAGACTATTGCTGAGAAGATAGGACAGCAGAAAATAATACTCAGAAAAGATTTTAAAGCTGGGAAGTGTGTGTGTAGAATACAAAGTCAGATCCTACCTTTGCCTATATGACAGTAGCAACATGAAGTGGACATATCAGGACTCTGCTCATATGGTGACATTTCTCTTCAGTGAGTCTCACACCAGAAGACAGTCACATCTGTTCCTAGTCTTACTGCTCACGTTGCCCAGCACCTCCAGTCCAGGGAAGTTGAGGAGATATGGGATATACAGTAATACCCAAGGGCGGGCTGGCGCCCAGAAGCATTGTGGGGCCTTTGACTCACTAAGGAAGATGGTACTGGGTAGCAAATCATTCCAGGTTTCATTGTACATTCTAATGGTTAACAGTCACTGCCTGAGCCATTGCTCTCAAACACTACAGGAAGAACCTGGACTGTTTTCACAACCTACACGCCCTCACTCCAAGTTAAATAAACCAGACTCTCAGGTGCTGAGATTCCTGAGGTTCTGACGTATACTCCTATTAATGAGAACCCCTGCACCCAGAGACATTTCCGACCCCACTGTCTCTTCGTATTCTGTCCAAGATGAACGCATTTGGTTGTTGGATTCTATGGTCAAGATGTCTAAGGGGCCGGGGATTTAGTTCAGTGGTTTTGCTGCCTGCTGTGCAAGCACAAGGATCCAAGTTCGATCCCTGGTACCAAAAAAAAAGAAAAAAAAATGTCTAGGAACTATTTTTTTGAGCAGCATGTTTGTGCCAGCAAAGTGCTAGTTATTTGATATATTATTTCTATTACATTAAATAATTGTAAGGAAGATCAGAGGATAAATAACTTAATCCAAAGTCACAACTGTTGTATCTCGTGAAGTAACAGTTCAGACTTGGAGCTGAAGGTCTCTCACTTTAGCTATATCTGTATAAAACTTTAATTCAGAAAAGTGTTTGTGCAGGGCACAGCTTTTATAGGGATGATAAATTAGTTGTTCCCACTCAACTTTTTGTTCATTTTGTTTCATGATCTTTCTCTTAATTCTATTTTGAGTGTAAAAAACATAATTGCTAGTAGCACTTAGATCAAGCAAAAGAAGACTAAACAAGTAGTCAAGAATGTTTTTAGGACATGATGATAAGAGCAAGCTTGGTGATCTGGGGAATTACAGATGCCCTGGCTCACTCCAAGGCTACTGGTGAAGGGCTCCCGGAAGTGGCCTGTGAGTCAGAGAGGAAGAGGAGCTACTGTAGTCAGACCAGCAGAGAGGGAGGCTGTTCCAAGCAGTGCAGGTGAAGGCTTGCTCTAATCTACTAGCAAAGAAACACGGTTGGAGCAGAAGGTAAAACCAGAGAAATTAGACGGTGCCAAATTGTGAATGGCTTGCTCAGTCATGCTGTGAAGGATGGAGTTTATATTCAGGGCACTGGGAGCTACTGAGAGTTTGAACAAGGAAGCGACATAATTGGTTTTCCTTTTAGGGAGATTGTTCTCCATGATACAGCAGGAATGGATTTGTTGGCAAGACTAGAAGCAGGAAGATGACTGGGAGTTTGTTGCAGTAATCCAGCTGAGTGTTAATAGGGCCTGAATTAATGACAGCAGGGCTGGAAAGAGTGAAGCATATTTGCAGACTTAAGGAGTTCACATTAGAGAGACCACCATATTGTTAACAGTTACTAACTTTGGGACGGCACAGGAGGTGGTGGGGTAGTGGTGGTCATTTAGTTTTCTTTCCAATTTGGGGTGTTGAGAATTTATACATTTGGTTTTGTGCTCATTAATTACTCATAGAAAGATAAAATGCCTCTAATAGCAGCCTCACATGCTTGCCTCACATTCTTATGCTCAGATGTATTATTTTCACTATGGAGATTGAGTCTGTAAAATAGGCAGCTCCAACTTGGAGTGAGACAGACGCGGTTACTTGGCTAAGTTATGTAAGCAGCTAAGGCACAGTTCTGTTAAAGTGGAGATAAAAATGGCCGCCATATCCAGTTCTGGAAAATACACAGGGCCGTTCAGGGCTTGATGTTGGTACTTTGAAAGCAACAATAGTTTTGACAGATCATTGTATCATATTAAAATGGTTGGTTTCTTCTTAATCTTTCATAATAACTTAAGTCTTTTCTTGAAATACCTGCATGAAAAGGTCTTAAAACTGAAATATAAGCTAATGTGTTTTACCTTCATTCCTCCAGGCAGGGAGCAAATGCCACACGAGATGAACTGACCATGTCTGCGTTCCTGACTGTCCAGTTGGATCGGTCCCTGGGAGGGCAGGCTGTGCAGGTTATGATGCTTTTAACCCCTAGACTCACACAAGTTCAAGTACTGCTGGCTTAGTTACTAGCTAGAGCTTCCCTCCCATGTCTGGAGAAGCTGAGAATGTGTTGTGCTGCAAGGCAAAGGAGAGTTATGGTTGGAGATGGAATTATGGTTGCCCATCAGCAGCCTAGAAGTAGGGAGATGATCTGGATTACAGTGAGATCACCAGGGTCCTTAGGAGTAAAGCAGAGAGGCTGGGAGAGTTAAAGGGGCACAGCGTGGGGAAGACATACCCAGAAGTTGCCAGCTTTGACCAGGGAAGGGGCCCCTGCAAAGGAATACAGGCAACCTCTACAAGCTAGAAAAGGCAAGGAATTCCTTCCTATTTTAGGAAGGAATATAACTCTATGATAGCCTAACAGTAGCTTGTCTGGGTAGTCTGACTAAATTCTTATCCCAGATTTTAGCCCAGGGATTAAATTAGCCTATAACTCATTTTGGACTTCTGACCTCCAGAACTATAGGATAATAAGTTTGTGCATGATAATTTTTTACAGCAGTGACAAAAAAAATACAACAGTATAGAACTAGCACAGATGAATAATTCCAGTTAATAGATAAATAGTAGAATCATATTATAGATTTTTTTGTTGTTGTGTTTTTGAGACAGAGTCTCACTATGTAGTTCAGGCTGGCCTTGAACTCATAACAATTCTCCTGCCTCAGCCTCCCAAGTGCTGGGATTATAGGTGTATGCCACTGCACCCAGCAGATACTCTTTTTTTTTTTTTGTACCGGGGATCGAACTTGGGTCCTTGCGCTTGCGCAGCAGGCGGCGAAACCACTGAGCTAAATCCCGGCCCTGATACTCTTAAATTATAAAAATACATAAGCTATGTGTTCTGTAGGCAGAGTGAAATTAACCTTGAAAGAGAGCATGGACCCTTATTTTTCATTTTCATGTGCCAGAATCTCAGCTGAAACAATGTCCAATGCTTAGAAGTGAGGGAGAGGTGGGAGAGAGGAGGAGAAAAAGGACAGAAATGGGAGGAGAGGGGAGAAGAAGCGAGAAGAGAGAGAAGACAAGGGAGACAAAGGACAGAAAAGGAATGGGGAAAGAATCAGGAGAAAGAAATAAGAGGGGAAGGGAGAAGAGAGAGGGAAGGGGAAGGGAGAGGTAGGAGTGAGGGAGGAGAAGAATGGATTCTTGATTTGGGTATTTCTGTTAAAAAATAACTCCTTGAGAATGACTGAACCTAAATTCAAAATAACAATCCTGTAAAAATATGAGTCAAGCCCTTTGTGTGTGCATGCATATGTATGTATACACACGTATACACTATATACATACATCTAAACTATGTACACATGAGTATGTATATAGAGAGATTGATATATAGAAAAGGCAGTAGAAAGAGATAGTTTCCTGACTAATTATAAAAGTCTGAGTGTCATACAGTGTCAGATGATACCACTGCTAGGTCCTAGATCTCTTCACTGTGCCTATGAGGCTCTTTGCAGCCTGATTTCGCTTTTTCTTAAGTTCAAATGCTCCTCTGCTTATATTTCTGGTGGAATATCTGCTGTTTGTTTCAGGATTCTTATTAGTAACCACAGGAATTTATTGGTCTTTGCTTATTTACTTTCCTCATCCTATAAATGAAATGCAGGCTCCAAGGAGACCCTGTTTACTTCTAGTGCACTCCAGTGTGTCTGTCTCCTCTTGGTAACCCAGGAGTGGTACTTGCTTGTTCCTTGTCCCTATAGCTAGCTTGAGGTCTCTCTGTCTCTGTCTCTTTCTCTTTCATTCCATCTTTCTATAGCTGGAGTTGCCCACAGCGCTGCTTGGGCATTTTCTGCCCGCCTGTGTGTTTTGTCTGTCTAGTTTTGGGGAAGGCGTCTGCTCCCATCCGCTGGGAAATGTGTCTTCCACACCAGTATGGAACTGAGAGCGGGGCCCATTTGGCCAGGACAGTGACCTTTCTGGGACAGCTGCGTGAGGCTTCCCATCTCCTCTGCAGGAGTGTGTCCGCTTAACTTCCTTGTGCTGGTGTTAAGGGAGCTAGGAGTTGATGTCCTATACGAGGATTTTGGGGGCCAGGGATTTAGCTCAGTGGTGCCACTGCCTGCCTCGCAAGTACAAGGTCCTGAGTGCGATCCCTACTACCAAAAAAAAAAAAAAAAAAAAAAAAAGGACAGCCTATACAACGTTTTTGTTTTGAATTTTTTTCAAATCTTTATAAATGTAATTACTTGTTTCAGTGTAATGATTAAATAGAAAGGTAACTCAGGTACTTCAGAGCATAAAATATAAGATGTGGAGGCTGAATTTGGTCTTCAGATGATTTCTTCTCTTTGGTACTTACATATCAAGTTAGATTTAAATGTATAGGCACATTTAACTATTTTTTAATAAGTTAGCTAACTAGCAAATTAAAAAGTATGAATTATTTT